CAAATAAATGCAGCCTTGATGAGCAGAAGAGACTTCTTTTAAAAACATTACAAGTCTTACTGATCCCAAACTTTTGAGCGGCAGTGTATATATATATATATATATATATATATATCTACACACGAAGTAATTGAATGGCCCCAAATTCCTTAGTCAAGAAAGGCAGTATTTTGACCAGAATACTAAATTCTCACTGAAACGTAAAAGCTGAAAACTGTCATGAGCCTCAGTAAAAAGCTCATGTGTATGCGCAGAAGGCCTAGTGCTCATTTCTAACCATAAGTGTTGAGCTCAGGACACTTATGTGCTGCTCAGCTTCCCTCCCCTTTGAGGCCCACTAACCCTGTAAATCCAGCCTGGTATCAGCAACACATAAAAAAGCAACGATGGTGTCCTTATGCCATTTCGAATCATCACACTTCAAAAATCCCAGTTCCTAGTTAACAAAAACATTCCACTTAGTCAAAGCTTTAACACTAATAAGCATATCTACTTGAAAATACTCGAATAAAACTGTCGCTTAGTTCGTGGATCCTATGGATGTCATATAGCCTGACGATGCAGATTGTGAGCTTATAAAACTATTAGTGCTTCCTTTGCTTTCCCCTTTTGGCAGGTGCTTCTGGTCCACCCAAGCAGATGCATCTACCTGTCCTGTCCTAATACTTGAAGAAGACTGCTCCCCTGTCCATGCACCTGGACCCAACGGGACAAGCTCTGATGCAAGCTTGTGCTCAGGGCATGCCTTGATGCCCGAGCCTTCGCCAACGCTACCGTCCCTCGCCTTTCTCTGCAGATCCTGAGGGATCTCGCCTGGCGTGGCTCCTTTGCCGTGCTCAGAGCAGCGTCTCAACGCTTGAGGCTCGCGCTCAAAGTGCGTGAGCGGGAAATGCGGCAACAAAACAACGTGCTGCTCGAAGGTCTCTGGAACCAGAGAGATCGCAGAGGCTCGCCGTGGGCTTCTCATTGGACTAGCCAGTGGCGTCTCATCAATGAAGTTAATCACTTCGTCGCGGCTAAAGCACTTGAAATCGCCCTCATAACGCTCGACTCGTGGAATCTGCTTGAGCGAATGCATGTCCTCGGATCGCCTCCTTTTGCGGTGTGGGTGGCTCTCCTCGTGGTAGGACGCAGGGCTGCTCCGATGTCTCTCGTGGCGCAGCGAGCTGTATTGCGGGATGCCAATGATGTCCTCTGTGGAGCCCCAGCGATGCAGGTAAGACGGGATCTGACCGGTGGTCCACATGTCGGTTTCGTCGTGGGAGTATCTTCTTGTAGGGGGCACCTGGAGTAACACACAGACGAGTGAACCAGGACATTTCTAAAAGCAAATTTCCGGCTCAAACTAAGGACCTCAAAGCTTTTGCATCTCTTATAATGCCAGAATCAATGGAATCTTGTGAACTATAATGGCAACACAGGTCTGTTTTCAGTACTAAATATTCATATATCTGCTTTTTAATAGGGATAAAATGAAGTTAATATTATTTTGCGTAGTTTATAATCACTCATTCTACAAACAGATACTCACATTCCACATTGTTCTGAGAACTACACAGGAAAGACATAAAATTAGTTTTTAGTATTTAAAAGAACTTTAAGTACACTATCCAAAGCATACAGCACAAGCCTAGCATGAAAGCAACTGTATTGGTTAATGCAGGAATGAGACAGCCTTTACAAAAAAGCCCTATATGCATTATGAGGACTGATTGATAAGTGTACTATACTCTGGCCAGTAGAGGGAAGCAAAGCATCATTAAAGCAATGGCATTGAGTTTTTGTAACCTTATCTACTATATTTAAAGGGATCACATGATGTTGCTAATAAGAACATTATTTTGTGTATTTGGTGTAATGAAATGTGTTTATGCCATTTAAGGTTCAAAAAACACATTATTTTCCACATACTGTATATTATTGTTTCTCCTCTATGCCCCGCCTTTCTGAAACGCGTCGA